AAATTTCATCGTGCTTGGAGTGGCGAGATTGGCAGCAATTCAGAACTGTTTGAACTATTAAAACTACTTGAGCAAGACCCTCCGAGCATGACTCACATTGGGGACCTGGGATGGGTGGGAGGCTGGGTGGGGCTTCTCCCTTTATTTCCCTCTTTACCCTAGATACAAAAAAGAAAAAAAAAAAAAGAGAGAGAGAGAGACAGAATGTGGAAACAATAGTCTTACCCACTTGCTGTAGCCCTTGAATCTTTGTGCCCTAATCAACTATGTAAATATTATCAAAATAAAATAATAATTTAAAAAGAACCTTGGAACAGCTAGCCTAAATGTATCTCTCCTACAAAAACTGGCTGGTTCATCAGAATTCCTTTTCCTAGTAAGTACCAGAAGACACTGGTGGGATGTCAAAAGTGTTTTCAAGAAGAAAAGTCGTGAGACAAAAATTTTGTTTCTGCCTAAGCCAGTGTTTTCATGTTCTAAACTTATATGCAGCAAATAGGAAAGAGATTTTCAGCTATTCTGGGACTCAGAGGATTATTTAAGTACTGTTCTCCCTGTCCTCACGTATCCCACTCCCCTCAAACAAACAAACAAACAAACAAACAAAATAACTTCTAATGCAATGTTTTCAGCAAAAAGATCATGAATTGTCAGGGGAACAGAAGTATCAGTGCTAAGCTACAGCAAGCAAGAGGTACACTCCCATGAGGTACACTCCCATGTTCTAGTTCCATGTTAGCAAGACTGCCTCCTAATACAACCCTTGTGTACCTGAGTTGTCTCACCCTCATTCTAGACCTTGAATTATAGCCAAAGAACAGCAACAAACATGGCACCCAATCGATGAACATGCTGAACATGATGAACATGTGGAAAAGATTTAATGTAATATGAATATATTGATTGCTAAGGGCTGCAACAAAATTTCCACAGTCACTGACAAAACGCAGGAAGCTGCACTTGGGTGAGGTAGTACACTGTCTCAACACGGCAGCTTACTCTGTGTATTAAGAGAAAGTCAGTAGTTGATTCTTTTTTTCTCCCTGTATTTTTGACTTGAGAAATAAAGCATTCATGAATTTAGGTGGCACAGCACAAGCAAAAGCAATCTTCCTACAAAAGTAGACTTGGAGACATAATCCTATAAGAATTAATCTCTTTAATAATTAACTAAAAATAAATGAGCTATACATTTAAAATTAGATTATTGGGGATTAAAAACAAAGAACACGAGGTTGTGCAGAACTGAATATTTTATTATGGCAGCAGGGAGGCCATCATCTTGTAGGATGATGTGCTGAGAAAAAAAAGTGAAGGTTTATATACTTTTACAAAAGCATGGTGCAAATGGAGGGAAAACAGGTGTGTGGAGTATATATTAGCTCGATTTCCACAAGGTCAGAGTAACCCATAACAGTTCCATGCACAGGGTAGATAAGTAGCTCTACTGTGTGAGTCAAGGATCAGGCAACATTCCAAGGGAGGACAAAACATCAAACACTGGGGGGTAGGCCTTCCATGACTCCTGGCCTGTACACAGCTCTTGTACATCACAGGAGGTCCTCTGCTATATGTCTCTCTTGGAATGCCTGCCAAGCATCCATATCACTGGACTCATAAGAAGAAAGGGGAAAATAACAAAGGATAAAGCTAATAAGACAATGAAATAAAATCACAAATACCTTTATGCTAATCAAGTACTATGTGGTCTAATTTTGGCAGAAAGAACAAAATGCATCATGACAGAAGTACAGAAGGAGCAAAAACTTCAGATATAATAAAAGGAATGTAAGAAGAAAATTTAATACAAAGTTTAAAATTGTGTATAGAGTGAATGACACTTCAAGGTAACACAAACGGTCAACATTGGCAAAACAAATCCTTTAATGGACCAATAACTATGATCGATACTGAAAAGGATTCTCCAAGAAGTCTTAGAATGGCTTTGAGGCTCTTGTAGTTTTACAAATCAATGCTTTCAATCCTTGAAATAATGGCAGCAAATTTTTGAAAAATCCTATTCTAATCATCTTTTCCAGTGTTAGTAAGAACAGGTTTTCTTTCTTTTTATGAGATGGGCAGCTGCCTAATATCTAAACATGATAAAGACACAGAAATTACATGAATGCACATAGAGCAAGGCTCCTCTATCAGCATAGCCATCAGAGTCCTAAAAAAGTGACTAGAGAATCAAATTTTGCTGTATATAAAAGAATGCTCAAGGGAAATATTGTTCAACACTAAGGAATATGCTAAGATAATTCATAATATTTAATAATCAAATGGGAAAGGTAGGTATTATCATTATTAGGTGACAGTACGCTGTTTGAGAAAACAAACATAAGAAGTAAGGTAAGAAGTAATCCTTTAGGGATTGGGGCAGGTTACAGTGGTGAATTAGAAATGCTTCCAATCAACTTACAATTGCATCTATTTTGAATCTATTAGGAATTGTGAATGACAATTCTTCTTCAAACCATCAAATAAAGAAAATCAAGAGAGAAAACATCCAAAAAATTATTTTTTTCTACAGATACAAGCATGTAACTTAATTTCATTGATTCAGATACTTTAAAAATCTCTTAAATACAGATGCAATAAGTCAAGAATCAATCAGAATAGTTGCTCAGAAAGCCTAGACATACAAGATTTATTTATTTTGATTGGAAAGGCAAATTCTTTTTACAAAGAGGAGAGACAGAGAAAGAAAATCTTCCATCCATTGGTTTACCACCCAAATGGCCACAATGGCAGAACTGAGTCAATCCGTAGCTAGGAGTCAAGAGCCTCCTTCAGGACTCTTACATGGGCATGGGGTCTCAAGCCTTTGGGACATCCTCTGCTGCTTTCCCAGGCCATTAGCTGGAGACTGGATGGAAAGTGGAGCAGCCAGGACATGAAGAGGTGCCCATAGGAGACACCAGTGCTTAGAGGTGGAGGATTAGCCAGTTGGAACCATCGTGTTGGCTCCTTTCAGCATGATTAGAAACTCATTAATCTTGTAGTATGGGATATTGGGCTTTGATTCAAAAGTAGACAACACAGATGGTCCCACTACCTTTCTTTCTGCTCTGATGTTGCAGATCCAAGAAATGACAAGGAGAAAGAGAATAAGGGAGAATAAAAAGCAGAGGGCCAAAATTCATTCCCAACTTCCCCTTAGATCTGAGACAAAAAGAAATGAGAAGCCTGAAATGGATGCAAGTTTACATTTACTTTAATAAACATTGTACTGTTCACATACATAAATATGTAAATTAGCAATATGTGTTTTCCACAAAGTGAATACACTCATGTCTACTTGGCTAACATCCAAGATGAGAAAAAGATATCATCAATACCCTAAGAACCAGTCTTAGGCAACTTCCATCCAATCAGTTCTTGCCCAAGGAAAATTGCTAACATGTCTTTTTAAATTAGATTAGTTGTGCCTCTTTTTAAACATTCTGTACAAATTGTTACAAGAAGGTACTCTGTCTTCTTTCAGTGTGCTCATGGGACCCACAATGGTGTTGTGTATTATGGTCTGTTCATGTTACTACACCATGATTTAGTTACTTACTGTTCCTTTTTCAGGCAATGTAGTTGTTTCCTGTTGAGTTATTACAGACAATGCAGTAGTGATCACTCACTATTGTACATATTTTTATGAATGAATGCAAGCATTTGTATATAAAATGAGTCATTAGGCCATACATGTAGTTTTGGGAGACACTGCCTAGCAGCTCTGCAAAGTTCTAATGTATGCTCATGTTTACAGTATGAGAAAGTTCCTTTTGATTCACACCTTTGAAAACATTTGCTGTTTTTCCACATTTGTCCATTTTCTCTGTTCTGTTAGGTGTCTAACGGTATCTCATTATGCCTTTGCTTTTCACTCCTGTGATGACTAGTGAAGCTGAATGTCTAGTTATCTCTTAGGCTTTCTCTTTTATGAAGTGTCTGTTTAAATCGTTCTCCATTTTTCCATCAGGCTGTCTGCCTTCTTCTTTTTCTTCCATACATGATCTACTTATCCATTATTCTACACCCTCCTTGGTTTTCTACAAAATTTCTTTTGGCATGTATTGCGGATACTCAGAAAGCAGAAGCAATGAGTCCTCAAGTGTCTTTCTCAACCCCTAATGCTCTGTTTTCCTCAGTACAATGACTGTTGATTTGTATGCAGAGATTGTCTTCACTTGCTAAATTAGCCCAAGCTTGTTTTTAGTCCCAGTTCTAGTGGGACTAGAAGTTTTCTCAGTTCTAATCCCAGTTCTACTGCAATCTTAAGCATGATAATCACTTCTCTAGAAAAGCTGTAGCAAAAAAGAACCAGCTGAATCTGTAGAAAATGTGTTTTAGTGGTAAAAGTCAAAGTCAGTTCCTGCTGGAGTGAGAATGAATCCTGAGAAAATATGTATTATAGGGGGAAAGTCCAAATATCTTTTTCTACTTTTAAAAATTATCTATGGGAGATTTTTAACTTCTCTCATGTGTTATGTTTTTTATATCTACGTTGCCACTGTCTGTCATCTTTACCTCTGGTGCCTCTGCCTCTCCCTTCTGTTGTCATTAAATGTCTGAACTTTCTCACTGTCCCTTCTGGAAGTGCCTGCATTCTTATTCCCCACCCCACCCCACAGCCACCTTTCTTTCCAAACAAGCTTTCCAAGTCTCTCGTCTCTGTTCCCCATTTCTAGGTAACCTCATTCATTTAATCTTTGCTTGGCAATTTTCTGGTGGTCAGTCTTCTGGACTTTATCTAAAATAAGTAAATGCCTGCTTCTCCTGAAGAAAATAATTTCAATCTAATTAATCTGAAAATTTCGTTTTAGCATGTGGATTTTAATAGAATTTAATCATATAAGTGAGATCCAGCTTTCACAGTATATAAAAATAAGATGTTAATTCTGTGAATTACAGTTTAAAATTCTGTTCTCCTCCGAGCTCTGTAACATATGGCTATATATAAATCTCCCCCATGAAACCTCCCATATGAAGGCACTTATTAAGGATTATTTTCACACAGATGTTTATTCATCTAGTATTTTCCAAACAAAGAGTAGTTCAAAGGCAGTAGGAATAGACTTTTTAAATTTGTCTGGGAGTTGCCAGGTTTGCCTGTAGCTTAGAAATACTTGGAGACTCTATAAACAATTAGCAGCATACGGACTTCCCGTCAAACCAGGGGCCCGGGCACCAGTGTGGTTCAGAGGTTCCCTGGCAACTTTAACACTTCGAGCAAGAGCTGAAGACTGTTGTCTAGGAACAGGAACGTGAACAAATGGCAGTGAGTCAAAACTGTTGGGACGTGAATGGTCAGTTCTACGTTTAAGTCAGCCACTCTGCGTCCTCAGAGACGGGTGAGGGGCCTCTCTTTGGCCCAGTCTTGGATTTTTGCTTGTCCAAACGTGAGATAAAATACCAAGCCAACCATGTTGACAGCAGCAGACAGGAAAAATACATTCCTCCAACCAGACGCAGAATCCTAGGCACAAACAATACGTTATTACTGAGGCAAGTTCCATCCTCATTACTTCCGGAAATCTTTCGTTTAGAAGGGGGCAACCCTGATTACAGAGAGCCCAGGGAACAGTTGATAGTGGTCACTTCACAGCACAGATCATCAAACACCACAGGAAACTGATAGAAACAACAAGGTTCTGAAACGCACCTTGGGTTCTGAATTGGGCTGGATAGTTCTTTCAACAAAAAATAGATTAAATTACACTAACATATTCCTGGAAATTTGTATTTTTTGCCTTCATGAAAATACAGTGCTATTTATATTCATTTACAACTATGTCTAAAGTGGCAGTTTAAAAATCTAATGTTTGTGCTTTCTCTTTTGTTTTGGCCATTCATGTCTATCACAACAATGTGAATATCACAACTTAACAGGAGTCCAATTAGTTCTGCCACTCCTTACCAAGTTGTGATAAACCATAGCTCATTTCTACAACAGTGCATTCCTAGCAATGTGTTAAAAAAAAAAAATAAGTGAGGAAACTAGATTGCATTGAGATGAAATAAAAACAAGGTAGTACTTCTATTTGTATAAGAGAACGTATGTCCATCTTTCCAGCCCAGCCTGGTTCTGCTTCTTATTCAACACTTCTCAACACTGAGCGAACCTCATAGTCCTCCCACTCTGAAGAGTCTCCCAGCCACTGTCTTCTGTGCTGTACTTAACCTCTCTTCAAACTGGCCTTGTGACACTTATGTCTCCTGATATGATTTTTTAAAAATTGGAATTATCATGAACAAACTTGCCATGGCATTCCTCTTCTGTCCTCCCCTACCCCGTCCCCAGTTTTCAGCTCTAATATCCCAGACATGCGCCATTCACTCATGCTATAATTCAGACCTTTCCACACTTTTGTACCTCTAAGAAGTTATACTTGCTGCATTGTGTGCCCAGAGAGCTCAATCACCCATCTGTTCATTTTGAGAAATTTGGTTGTTTTTTTTCTACTTGGAAACCTGACCTACCAGAGTCTGATTTAGAGGTTCCCCCAAATACAAGAATTGTGTAGAAATCTATGCTTTCTCTCCCATTGGATCACACCATCCTTGAAAGCACAGGGCATGTTTCCAATGCCTTTATAAAGCAGTACTTGCAAAGATTTGATAACATGTCCAACCTGACTGATAAGGAATCCAGTGGCTGTGGAAGAGACGATTCCTGCGATGAGGCCGAATCCCCTGGAGATACCCATGAGGAAACTTGCGTACCTGTGGTGAGACGAGTTTACACAGAAAGCCGGCTGCAGCAACTCAGCTTCAGGGCAGTGTGGCTTTAATGGCAAAATCACAGTACCTAATGTGATCCTTGGTTCACCTAGAGACATTTATTATGCTGTGTCCACCAACTTTGAAACCACTTGACCACTGAGTCAGTAACAAAACTTTGTCTCCTTGGACACTGGGTTTCTTTACCCCAGTGCTCAGCTTGGGAGATGTTCGCACAACAGGCAGGACACAGACTCTGAAGCCAAACTGCTTTGGTCCAAATCCTGTCTCTGTCTGTGCATGATAATGGCCATACCACTTAGCTTCTATGTCTCAGTTGCCCCATTTACCCTGAACTGAAAACAATAGCACCTACCTGATGTAGTTGGAGGATGCCATATGTGGCTATATGAGAAGTCCTTGGCTCAAAGCAAATACATAAATATGGTATAATATAGAACCTTCCCAAAACACTTATCTGTGGGCCTTTTTCCAAGGTACACAGCACAATTTCTGATCAGGAAACTTCAGAAATTTTTCCTCTAAATGATTACCTGGCTAGATTTGGAACTGTTGTTCAAAAAATATCGCATTAGCGCCTGGTCACATACAGACATTTCTAATTAATAATCATTCCTTCATCTTCCAGTGCATGTCAACATGAAAGAGTTACATAGTAACAACTGAGGTCAAACACCTCTGGAAGGATCTGGGGGAGGGGTTATAAACAGGTAAAGCACTTACCTAGGAGCAATATCTAAAGTGTTGATGATAAAACCAGAGTCACACAAGTTGCTGGTCCCAGGAATAAGTATGAGCAAAACAATGGTTGTCACATAACTGGAAGCCACAAATGGCAGGGCCACAGCACATAGCGATGGAAGCAGGAGCCCTAGGCAACAAAGGATGTACTATGAGGACTTTTTAGATCACACATAGCAATGGATTTGTTAACTGAACCCACCCAACCATCCTTACCTAAGGATGAAAAGAGTTTGCGCACAGTGATTAATCTGAGAAGATTTCTGGACAGAAGGAAGTCTGCCAACTGGCCACCTAAAATTGTACAGCTTGAAGCAGCAATAAAAGGCAGGGAGGACAAAACTCCACTCTGAAGGAAGGAAATTTATACAGAACAGTTAGGGAGGTCCAAGGGCATCAAAATCAGTTACACAGACCAGCTTTAGCCCATCCCCAATATTCTGAGTTGTTCTGGGGAAACAACTTCCTTTCTAATACTAGCAGATGTGGTCTCAAGTAAGAAGACCTTCACCTGCCTCTCACTGGTCTCCATGGGAAAGAATATGGCTTCTAAGAGAAACTGTAGAATCTGCTATTGTAACAGTATAGATAATTTTTTAAATATTTGTTTATTTTTATTTGAAAAGCAGAGTTACAGTGAGGGAAAGAGAGAGAGAGAAGGAGAGAGAGATTCCATCTGTTGGTTCACTCCCCAAATGGTTGCAATGGCCAGAGCTGGGCCAGTCTGAGTCCAGGCACCACAAACTTTAAGTCTTCCATGTGGGTTCAAGGGCTCAAGCGTTTAGGACAGCCTCTGCTGCTTTTCCAGGCCACTAGCAGGGAGCTGGCTTGGAAGAGGAGCAGTAGGGACTCAAATTGAAATTTGTATGGCTTATTGGTGGAGTCTTAACCTGTTACACCATGGGGTTTGACCCTATGTAGCATAATGTTTAGTAATACTGAAGCCACAGCAGTTCTACCACTTAGTGGTTGTGTTAACTAGACAAATTATCTCACCTAAGTGTTCCATTTTTACATTTATTAAATGACAATCATTGCAGTACCTCTTACAGTGTCCATGTGATGGCTGAGTGGGTGGCTATATGCAAAACTAGAACGTAAAGGCAGTACTGAACAATTTCTCCTTTTGCCCAGTGTTCTTATTTTCACAGAAGTACAAGAAGTATACTCACATCTCTGATGTTCACATGGAGCACGGTGCTGATGTACGTTGGGAGGTATGTTATGATTATGGTGCACAACCAGAAGTGGCTGAAAAACCCAGAGAAAATGGCCCAAAGTGGTAGGCATTTAACCATGGCCTTGATGGGGACAGATCGTCTTGGAGAACTGGACTGAAAGGAGATATTTCATCAGCATGGGCATTGGAACAGGTCCAGTGGCACCTCTCCTGTGAGAGCCACACCTGTCCTGGAGATTTGGGCAGGAGTGCACTGTACCTGTTGAGCCAGAGAGGACACAATGTATTCCTTCTCCCTGGTACTTATGCATGGGTGATGCATGGGGTCATCATAAATCACCATGAACCACAGGAGACAGCAAATACAGCCAATGCTACCTGGGAAGCAGGGACAAAATGAGTTTTGGGTGGATTTGTTCTGGGGAAAGAGAGTTTTCTGTGAGATAGCTTGTCCTCCCCCCATCACACCATCAGTTCTAGCATAAGCACATAAAATTTCCCATTCCTTTGTTTCAGTTGTCCTACAAGGCTTCCTTTTCCCTTCATGCTTTCCAGTGACTATCTCTCAAACATAGAGTTGCTTTTGTCAGCTTTAGAGCCTTCTAGAAATAGCATAAGCTTGGACACTGGATATCTGACTAATTATTCTAGAGGCTCCAATCATTTTACTGCTATGTGTTTTTAGCAATAATTCTTAATGCACACATTACTGTCTTCTTTTGGAAGACAAGAACAGTTAGGACTCAAGAAGAAGAGTAGTCTCACATATGTGGACCAACCTTCCGTTAATAAATGTAAAGAAAAATTTTCCAAAGCATTTGAAAAAGACAGTGCATTTGCATTTAGACCAAACATCCACTATGGGTTTCCAGAATAAATACTTTTTGACAATGTCTGGCTCACATGTGCAAACCAGAATGATCACTAATGAGAAAGCTTGAGCTATATTGAATATCACCATTTAGCATTATCAATGAAACTTAATGGGAACTTGTTTCATTACTGAAACTTGTTATTCGAAGAAGATTCTATGTGAAGAGTCTGAGGGCCAATGTCCTTTAAATTTTATTAACTTTTGCATTCATCCATTCTTTCCTGTAGAAGCTCAAAATTAGGCACCATGATAGTATCAAAGGGGTAAATTACATGAGCTATATACTGTATTCCTTGTTTCAAACATTTCACAGTCTAGTAGACAAATGAAGCAGCGAAATAAATTATTACATGCCAACATAACTTAGACCGAAAATATCAGTAAGGATCACAGAGAGGAGAATGACTAGATCTGATGGGATAAGACCTAGACAAGTCCATGAGGAAGGAGCCAGTTGATTTTATTTGCAGGAATCACCCAGTGGAGAAGATGTTAAAGGATCTTTAACAGAAACAATAATAATGGTTTAAAAGACACAATGTGCTGAACCAATGTTGCCATCTTAACTTCATACAGCACCTAGCCCGGGCATGTCAGAGGTAGTGACAGAGAATCTACTGGAGATGCTGAAGGCAGAAGAGTCGTCATTGATTTCTCAAAGTTGGCACCACATGAATAGACAGCCCCTCTGGTTTGTTCATGGGCTTCCCAAGTCAGAAGCAGGTGTTGAGTCAGTTGTTGGACCTGATTAAAAAGAACCTATTCCTCATTCTCTGTCATCTTGCACTTGACAAGGACTTTTTCTCTCTTCTTGGAGGAATGTGAGTGATGTACATGCCAACATAAGGACCTGGGATGTGAAGGCATTTTAATTCAAGAGGCAGTGACTCACCAAAGATGTAGAAAATAAAAGGCCAGCCCAAGGCCTGTGAGATTAGTCCCCCCACACAGAGGATGAAGAAAGATCCAAACGCTGCCCCTGAAGAGAAAAGGAATAAAACACCGATGAGCATAATGAAAAACTGGACAGGACATTGTGACAACAGCATGAGGGCAGAGCATGGATTCCTGGGTCATGAGAGGATATCTTCTTGCTCTCAGCATCTTCTCCAATAAAGTCTTGTGAAGTAATTAGGCAGCATAAACACTAGTGATATAGCTTTTGTTGCAGTGGCACTTTTGCACCAAAGTGACTAAATCCTTTAATTTGTCTCAGAAACTGTAAGTATAGCTTCCCACACGATACAATATGGAGTTGGAGCAGAAAAGGAAAGGTTTACAAAGGTTGGTAAGAGACAAGTCCTTGCCTTGAGATATCTTGATTTACTTGGAAAGAAAAATGTGAACAAAATTTGCTATCACGAATGTCATACAATGTATACTTCTGAGCCTACATTTAAATTGATACATATATGTAAGTGCAAGAAGTGCATTTCACATAGCAAAAAAAAAACACACAAGCAAACGTGCCTGAACACTCATACACACAACTGCCCCCCGTACATATATCAAACAGAAGTTTCAGAATCTGCATTGCAGTATGATAGGTAAAGTTTCCTCTTTGCAAAACTAGCTAGCATCCTTATAAGAGTGCAAGTCAGAATCCCTGCTGCCACGCTTCCAATCCAGCTTTATGCTCATATACCTAGGAAGGCAGCAGATGATGACCCATGTACTAGGGCCCTTTTTTTAATCATGTGAGACCCATAATGGTTCACAATTTTTAACTTAAAAAAATGCAGAATATGAATAGAATAATGAAACTGCAATGTACAATGGAGTTACATCTGTGGATAAGTTAATAATGCCTGTAATATTTACAAACTGCGTAGATTAGCTAAGCAAGAAGATAGATGGAATTTTGTCAAGACACACAGAGGCTGGTTAAGAGAGAACTGTCAGGAGCAGGAGCTGGTGGGAGTAGAGCTGATGGGAGAGGAAGTGCAATTGTGCGTGTGTAACAGCCACCATCTGGAATCTTGCTTGCAGAGGGGAGGCAAGTGAGAAGCCAGAACGTGACGGCAGAGCACATTTCTGCCCTGAAGGATCACCTTAAAGATTCTCAAGCAGATTGACAAAAAAGCCCCATCTTTTTTTTTTCAGAATTTATTACATTTTTATCAGAAAGTCAGATATACAGAGAGGAGAGGAGACAGACAGTTAGATCTTTTGTCAGATGACTCAATCCCCAAGTGGCCGCAACGGCCAGTGCTGCACTGATCCGAAGCCAGGAGCCAGGAACCTCTTCCAGGTCTTCCACATGGGTGCAGGATCCCAGGGGTTTTGTCCATCCTCGACTGATTTCCCATTGCCACTAGCAAGGAGCTGGATGGGAAGCAGGGCTGCCAGGATTAGAATTGGAGCCTATATGGGATCCTGGCGAGTACAAGGCGAGGACTTCGGCTGCTAGGCTACCACGTGGAGTCTGAAATACCCATCTTTAAAAGGTGGCTTGGGTTTGATAAGAAAAGAGGATTGGGAAGACAGCAAGCTGGAAACAACTGTAATAGAAGGAAGTAGGAGGGTTTTGGTCAAATTCAAGTCTCCAGGATGAGGCCATGTGCTTTACCCAAGAGTAAGATGCTCAACAGAGTTCAGTTGTGTTGTTAAAGTGTATTTTCTCAGTCAATGTAAGGGTACTCCAAAAAGTGCATGGAAAGGCAATTGAGGATGGCCCAAAGCTTTGAGATCCTGCCCCTGTGTAGGAGACCCAGAAGAGGATCCTGACTTTGGATGAGCCAAAGTTTGAATCATTGGACGGAAGATCTTCCTCTTTCTCTTCCTCTCTGTGTATCTCATTTTCCACTGAAAAAAATAAATAAATCTTAAAAAAAAAAAGAACTGTCTTACATGGTCAATTCTAATTACTCTATTTTGCTTTTTCCCTCTTCTTTCATCAACTTGCCTGATTCATAGGAAGAAGGAGATGTACGATGCGACACTTCACACAGCTGTGACCCACATGTGTGTACTTACCTGACCCTGCAATGCTGGTGAGCTTGCTTCGTTCAAGTGGAGGAGCCCATTTCGCCCAGATTGTAAACTGACCTGTCCATGCCATTCCCTGAAAAGAAAAATCACGACTTTTAAGCTTTCATAACTTTCAGGCTTCTATTTCCCACAAAAAATGAATAAGTGTCTGGATACCTGTGCCATGCCCTGGAACGTCCGAATCACAATGACCACAATCACTCCGAAGTCAGCAGCCAATGGTGTAAAAAGCGTGAGAAGAGATGAGATCAGCAAGCCAGCACCAAGCATCTGCTTTGCTCCAAATATTCCTGCTAAGTATCCACTTGGGATCAGGGTCAGTATTATCCCATAGCTGATGGAGCTAAAGATAATGCCCTGAGTCTCCGGGCTCCATTGATATACAGAAGCCTGGGGGAGCAGGAGGGAAGGATGGGGGAGGGAGGAGAAGAAGAAAAAGAAAACTCTTTGCTAAGAAGTCCTTTTTATAAAAGTCTACTTTGGGTAGTGGTGTAGCTCGTGAAGTTGCCGCCAGAGATACCAGATGCCAAAATGGGCAATGGTTCAAGTCCCAGCTGCTTTACTTCCAAACCAGCTCCCTACAACGGTTGGGGAAAATCAGCAGAGAGTAGTTCAAGAGTTTGGGTCCATGTGAGAAATGCAAATGAAGCTCCTGATTCCTGGCTTCAGCCTGACTTGGGTCCACAAACTTTTATTTTACTGATTTGAAAGGCAGAATTAGAGAGAGAAAGATGCTCCATCTCTTGGTTCACTCCCCAGATGACTGTAATGGCAGAGGCTAGGGTAGGCTGAAGTCAGAAACCAGGAGCCAGGAACTTCATCTGATCTCCCACAGGGGCCGAAACACTTGCGACATCTTCCACTGCTTTTGCAAGTGCAATAGCAGGGAACTGGATCAGAGCTTGAACCTGAGCCATGCGGGATCCAGCATCACAGGCAGCAGCTTCACTTGTTGCATCACAGCACCCAAAATAAATCTTTAAAAAATAAAAAAGTCTACTTTATAGCCAGAATTTCTTGGGGATTATCAGACTGTACCATATTTATTTTAGTAAAGACTAGAAAACAAGCAATTAGACAAAAACAAAAGAAAAATTCCACCCAATCACATCCCTCATGTGCTTCTTTTAAGAAAAAAAAAAAGAAATTAAAAAAATATAAAGAAGATGATTTTGTAGATGGATGACAGGAAGAAATGGAAAGAGCCACTGAGAGCTGTCTCAACTGTGAAAGATTTCCTTTAATTGTATGTGAAAGTGGTGTGACATTGACTCGTGGCTTCAAGAAAAAGAGTCAACTTGATTCAACTCTTACCAAAATCAGGCCCTGATGAAGAAACAAAATTAACTCTGGGGCAAAACTAAGTTTCCAAAACACATATACAAAATAATAACATCTCATTTTTCTTTTGCTACAATTCAATACATAACTTTCAGTGTTCTCCTAGATAAATGTCATCATGATTTGACAGCCAAAGAATATAAAATATAAGATATTTTATCCATTTAAAATAGCTATAAAGAACACAAAGTATGTAATAGATATAAGGATTAAGATTTAAGGATGATTATAGGTGAAACAGGGGACTGTGAGAAAAGAACAATTTGGAACAAGTCCCAGGAAGGAAGCAACATCCTTTTTAGAATGGCTATGATTTAGATGAAGAGGAAAGCATTAGGCTTTGTGGAACAGCAAGTTAAACTGCCACCTATGGCAATGCAACATCCCACAGGAACCCCATTCAAGTCCTCACTGCTCCACATCTGATGCAGCTCCCTGCTAAGGGATCTGAGAAAGCAGTGGAGGATAGACCAAGTGTTTGGACTCCTGCAACACACATGGGAGACCAGATGGAGTTCCAGACTCTTGGTATCGGCCTGGCCCAGCCCTGGCTGTTGTGGCCATTTGGGGAATGAGCCAGCAGATGGAAGATCTCTTTCTATCACTGTTTCTCTTCTCTATGTAAATCGGCCTTTCAAATAAAAATACACATTTTATAAAAGCAAAATAGGAAAAAAGAAATTTTATTCTAATTGGAGAAAATGGCAAGCATGCAGTCCCAGCATTTTGAATGATACCAAATGATCAGACACTACCAGGGACCTTCATTTACTCAGACAGAAGCTTTCCTTGGGTCACTGATGATGGGTAGGGGAATACTGAGGAACAGGTCCAGAGTCTGGAGGTGCACAGCATGTCTGGCAATTAGAAAGTGTCCTCGGTTCCTGAGCACAGGCATGTAAAAGTGTAGGCATGATAATGGAAGGGTAAGTGGAAGCAGGGTTACCACTAAAAAGAAAAGAGGGTTAGGGGCTGACATAGTGGCATAGCAACTTAATCCTCTGCCTACACAGCCGGTAGAGAATATGGGCACCATTCTCTGTTCCAGCTGCTACACTTCTCATTCAGCTCCCTACTAATTTCCTGAGAAATCAGCAGATGACTCAAGACCTGGGAATCTGCACATATTGGAATGATCCAGAAGAAACTCCTGGTTCCTGGCTTCAGATCAGCTCAATTCTGGCCATTGTAGCTATTTGGGAATGAACCAGTGGAAGAAAAATTCTTTTCTTTGTCTCTCCTCTATGTAAATCTGCCTTTCAAATAAAAATAAATAAATCTTTTAAAAAGTAAACTGGGACTAATTTATTATGAATTATATTGATAACATTAGGAATATACAGTCATGATAAATACTTTAAGGGCTAATTTTAGAACTAAGATATGATTACAATTCTCCCACAAATATAAAGTTTTTATTCAACTTTATATAAAGATTTTATTCAACTCATTCATTAAGGAGGGATTTAGTAAGATACTACAACTTCAAAAGAGAATTCACAAGAATCATGTATATACAAGCAGTTGTGAAGTAAACTGTAAATAAATAGCAAAGCACTTTATTCAACTGGGGGAGGGAGAGGGATGTGATGAATGGAGGAGAGTATAGTTGATTTTTCAAAAGGCACAAGTTATTTGCAAAGCTACAGATAAGAACAATTTTAACTTCTTATGCAAAATTTGCAGGGTGTAAGTAACTCAAAAGCAAGGAAAGGCTTAGAGATTTGAATAGACTTAGACAACCAGAAGGATGGGCCTACACATAATTTGTTTTTCAGTGGACAAGAGCTAATTTTTCACTGTTTCATTTTTAGAATTTTTACATTTTTCTATAGTTCTTCCACCTTATAATTATAAGAATCTCAAAAAAAGTTATTACTAGAGAATTAAACAGTGTCTCAAAGAAAAATAATTTCACTTCTTTTTAGCAGTCACTGTATCTACTCTGCCAAGTAAAGATCCAAGATTTTCTCTCTCTCTCTCTTTTTTCATTTTCCATAAAGAATCCTGTTCTCCATCATACTTACCCTGGTATTAAACTCCTTGATGGGTCTGCTTGGGTTACTGAGGGTGTCTACCAGAGGGTCTTCGAAGGAGGCATTGGTCAGATCGAACTGCTGGGTGCTGTTCACCATGGCAATGATGGCGATGCTCAGGCTCACTCGCTGGGTTATCATGGTGAAGTTGGAGAAGTGCATGATGAGAGCCAGCCCATAGCGTAAGGAGCAGAAATCTGGACCTGAACAACACAGAGGTGTGTCAGGAGCATGCTCACAGACACCACCTTCTCCCATTTCTTCCCCCCACATCAGGGGTAGTCCCAATCCTTTCTTTGCTGAATTCTTTGGCTGGCTTCAAACCAATCTGCCATCTTACAGCTAAGAAAAGCAAACATGGACTTCTTGAACAAATTGTGGGAAGCAAATAACAAATAGTGGAAAAAACTATGCAAGGTGCTCATATCCTATTGCTCCAAAAATGAAAGGGAAGATGGTGAGAGTCAATCACAAATTCCACCTCTGGACTGCAAGTCAGTGGTCCATCCTTCTGTTATCCTCATTAAATTACCATGAAGTTTAAGCATCTACACATAGGGAGCACCTTTGAATCAAGTTAACTGCATATTCAGCATTCTGTTATAAACAATCTGATTGGTGAGCTATAATTGAACACTTTCATGAACACCTTGGTGTAATGTTCATTGGAAATATTTTGTGGGTATCATTAGTCCCTACCTTCATGTATATTCAACTTAAAAAAAAAATTGGCCCAGGTTGTGGCATTGTACGTTTCATACCATATGGGCTCTGCTTTGGGGCCTGGCTTGTTCCACTTCTGATCCAGCTTCCTGCTATGGACCTGTGTCATTGCATGATCTGCCTTTCAATGCTTTATTCTTATGCAAACAACACATTAATTTAAACTCCATTTTGCCACTAACTCACACACTAATTCACAGATTCATATTCAGTGCTAAGTCTCTTCTCATCCGCCTACCCCAAAGTCCCTTGAACCTAGTCTGAGGTCAGAAGGCACATCCTGAGGTCCTAAGGTCCTGAGGCTGCTGTGCTTACTATATGGCCCTTGGAGAGAGTACAAGAGAAGCACAAAGGAGAGGCAGTCATCACCCAAGCCAGAGTGGTACTAAAGCGGTGCCAGGATCGTTCTTTGACTTGAGCTCAGAGCACCTGTTCCTCAATGAGCTAGCTGAGAGCAATTTGCCTGCTCAACTAACTAAGCCCCTTTTCATACCTGCTGGGGCTCCGTCTCTTCTTCAGCTTCTCTCGAATCTCCTCTTCACAGATTAGTAAGGGGGTGTGGCACTGAGCATTGTATGTTGCTTTACACACCTTATGAGCTAGTCCTAGTTCACAAATAAGTCCTGACATGTGTTTCAGTGCTGCTACTTAGTCTACACACAATTACATTTTACTAATATTTCACACATTTTACATACAGGTTAAAAATATGTCAGATAATATTTGAGATATTTCACATTTTGGAAACATGGCAATATGCAATTTATTTTTAAACAAGTTTTGTTATTATGCTCATCACAACCTCATCACAAGCAAAGTCGGACCAAGTGCTTGAGCCTTTGTACCCACATGGGAAACCTGGATAAAGCTTCTGGTTCTTGGATTCATCCTGGCCCAGTCCTGACCATTGTGGCCATTTGAGTGAACTAGAATATGAAAGATCTGTCTTTTCCTTCTTTTATCTGCAAATACATTTATTTATTATATTTATTTTTATTTATCAATTACAAATAAATAAATAATTCTAAAAATAATGTGTAGCAGGCCCCTAGTGGCTTGGCCTTGCATGCACCATCAGGATCCCATATGGATGCCACTTTGTGCTTCAACTCCTTTACTTCCCACCCAGCTCCCTGCTTGTGGCCTGGGAAAGCAGTGGAAGATGGCCCAAAGCCTTAGGACCCTGCACCCATGTGGGAGACCTGGAAGAAGTGCCTGGATCCTGGCTTCAGATTGGTTCAGTTCTGGCCATTGCAGCTACTTGGGGAGTGAACCAGCAGATGGAAGATCTTTCTCTCTGTTTCTCCCTCTTTGCAAATCTGCCTTTCCAGTAAAAAGAAATGAATCTTTTTTAAAAAAAACATGTAGAATACATATGTAGATGAAGTGGTATAGGAAGAATATCTAATATGTTGCAAAGGTAACCTTTTAAAAAAAATATCGAAATGTTAAAAGCACTCTCGTTTGAATTAGGCATTAACATTTTTATGCATATTGGAAGAAAAGTAATGAAAACAAAGGGGGAAAATCTACAAACAAATTGATTAAAATTAATTAAGTTTTTTTTTAAAGATTTATTTTATTTTTTTGAAAGGCAGCATGACAGAGAAAAGGGAGGGGCAGAGAGATCCTCCTTTCTCTGGTTTGCTCTGCATATGGTGGAAACGGACCTGACTGGGCCAGGATGAAGCCAGGAGCAAGGAGCTCCCATTCAGGTCTCCCGTGCAGGTGCAGGTGTTTAGATGTTTGGACCATCCTCTGTTGCTTTCCGACGCACATTAGCAGTGAGCTGGATCAGCAGAGCTCCTACAGTCCTTGCAGTAGTCAGTTTAACCTGTTTCAACCCCAATGGAAGAAATTTTCAATGGCTAAGTAAGTTGGGTATGGGGTGGAAATGGCTGCCTTCAAAAGAAGAGTTTCCCTGTTACTGTGGATTTCCACATCCAGGAGAAATAGCCAGTCCCTTGGCAAGGACATTAGAGCAGGGATTTGTGCATAGGTTGGGGTTGAATTAAAATGACTTGTATAAAGCTCACTCCTAGGGATTGCAGGATTTAGTGACATGACAGACAGCTCTGTGCAGTTTCCTAAGCGATATGGAAAAAAGAACAGAGTGGGCCTGGGAGTTGAGCTAATATTGTGCTGAGAGGGCGTCTCTGAGGGACAATGGAAACGGGAGCAGAAGACAGCACAGAAATGTAAAGAACATCAGAAATATCTCTGACTTTTCAATAAGGAAATCTGCAAACGAGCGTGGCAACTTTACCTTTCCTGGCGGGAGACTTCTCGTCCATTTAGCTTCTCTGGGAAATGGGACCACACTTTCTGGTGGAGTTTCCCTCTTCCCTGAATCCCTTTGATCACAAAAGGCCTTTATCTAAGGAAAAAAACACAATCCAAAACATAACACACAGCTACCTGGGGCTAAGGGTGCCTCCTCGCTGCACTGGTGACGTTTTGACCCACTACAGTCCACAGATTCAAGTTTTGCCACTCACTTCCGCTACGACTTTTGACAGTGACATTTTTAGAAGGCCGTCACAAACCTGAGGGATTTACCATTAGTCATTTAGATTCCCAAACCATCTGTTTTCCTCATCCACTTAATATTGGTTAGGCTCCTTTCTGAGTGATACTTTAAGAATTAAAACTTCAAATGCTTTATTCAAAGATAAAAAGCCAGGAGTGTAATGGCCGTAGCAGATCTGAAGACAGGATCATTAGACCAAACACAAAAGCTGAAAAAGAATATTCCACAGCAGTCTGTTCTCAGAACCGTCTTTCCATCCCCTCTGAATAACCGGTCCAGTGTTCCACTGTGTCTTCTTTGAACATGAAGGATGATATCACCTAACACTTATTTGTATTAATTACATTTAAATATTTTAAAAGTTCATTTTGTCGTTGCTACATGTAATGTGGGCATTTTATTGGATTGACAAAGTCTACAGATTACTTGTGTAACTGTACCATAAGGAAGCTTTCCAACATAATTATGAATCAACATAGTTGTTTTGCCTGGCACAGAAAACTCATGACCCTAATTGTGGAAATGTTTACTCTGACATTTATATACCAAACTGCTGTAAGATATACATATATGAGTTTCTTTCAAAAAAAAAATGTGTGATGCAGAGAGACAGAGAGCAGTCACCTGGTGCTTCATTTCCCCAAAACCCACAGTCTGAGACTCCCGCTTGGATAACCAGAATCCTATTACCAGAGTCCTCCCCTGCTGACCACGATCTGCACTGGCAGGCAGCTGGAGTCAGGAGCTGGAGGGTCGTGAACCCCAGACAGTCCAATACAGGACATGCGTATCTTAACTGCCAGACACGCACACACCCAGTGTGTACCCTGGCTGCTTCACTTCTTTTCTTTTTTTTTTTCTCTTAATTTGTTATTATTTAATGTTTTATTGGAAATATGCAGAGAGGAGGAGAGACAGAGTGGAAAGGCCCTGTCTCTGATTAACTCCATCCACCGATTCACTCCCCCAAGTGGCCACAATTGCTGGAGCTGATCTGAAGCCAGGAGCCAGGAGCTTCTTATGGACCTCCCACATGGGTGCAGGGTCCCAAGGCTTTGGGCCATCCTCAACTGCTTTCCCAGGCACAAATGGGGAGCTGGATAGAAAGTGGGGCCACCGGGACATGAACCAGCGCCCATGTGGGATCCCAGCACATGCAAGGTAAGGATTTTAGCCACCAACCAGGCTACCTTGCTGGGCCCTCTGCTTCCCTTCTGATTCAGCTCCTGCATATGGCCTGGGAAGGCAGTGCAATCTGGCCCAAATCCTAGGGCCATGGCACCACATGAGAGACTGGAAGGAAACTCCTAGCTCCTGGCTTCAGATCAACCCAACTCCAGTCATTGTAGCTATCGCTCTTGCTGTAACTATTCCTTTTCTGTAAAAAATAAATAAGTACTTCAAAATAAAAGCATAATTGGAGAGGTCAAGATGGTTTTTTCTTTGCCCAGTTTCTCCAGAATTTCGAGGATAATTTTCTCATCTAAGTTTTGAAATTTTCTTTTTTGGTTACAATGGCCCTAAACATAATCCCAGTTGCTGCAGGGACATGTAAGAACGAAGACAGATGTTGGCTGTTGTTCTGCCGTGGACAGCCCTATGTGCTGAATTCATTGATCCACACTTAGATCCTAACTGACGCCACCGGACTCCAACCTCAGAGTTCGGACCATTTTCTGTTTGATTTCCTTTGTTATGTAAGATCCCATAATTTGGCTGAAGACAATTATTTAACTGTACATGCAGCTACATTTATTTATATTCCCCGTAAAGCTCTCCCACAAAATTCTCCAGTGAATCTTCTACTCTGGTCTCTGGAGCAGAGACTCAGAGACCCTACGGCCTGAACGTTCATTTTACTGAGTGAACTGGAGTATAGACAGCACGGATTGCTGCTCCAGCCTCATAGCTCACAGAGCCAGCACCAGGCTCCTAACAATTGTGCTGTTTTTTTTTCTACCTGTTAACATTACTTCCTTTATTGTTATAAGCTTAGTACTCATACTGAGTTATCTTAACTCTGAATTTAGATAATTTAAATCAAATTTTCTTCAATTGTTCCAGAAGGATGCTTGATGAAGACAACTTTAACCTTTGAATATTATACAAAACACCTGCTTTTTCTTGCTCCCTTTATTAGTGTAATTCCCATCTCCTGTCCTTTCCACTTTCCACCGCTGCCTGATGCACGGGGATGAAGAGACCAACTCAGCTTCTGCAATTTCAAATTCTACCTTAAATTAGTTTCAGCAGCTAATTTCAATTGTTATTTTCCCTTTTCCTTTATATGAGACAAATAGAGAACCCAATCTAACATGCCAGACATTCTACACCGGGGTTTTTGTGTTTTGTGACACAGCAATGAAAACTATTATTCTAAAATATCCACAGGTTATAAAATCATGAGATCTGAGCAATGGTGTAATTAATATGCATTTAGAAATAGCCAGCTAACTCTTAGCCTGATGGCAAAAAATTGAGGCCATATAACTCCTGAAACTTCCCATTCAGGAGTGACACTTCTGAATAAAATAGTAAATCTTTGCATCAAAGTTCTAACTAGTACAAAAAAAGAAGTTGTAACTAGTCACAGAAAAACTCAATTATTATGAAGCTAATGGAAAATGTTACATCTAAGAAATAACCTTACAATGAAGTATAGTTTGTCCTTGAGCTAAAATGAACAATATAAGCATTATGGTTTATACATAAGCTGAATAGTAAAATTATTTTCATATTTTTCTTAGCCTAGGACTCATTATTTTGGTATAGTAGGCTTTTCATGTCTCTCAGATACACCCTGAAACCCAGCCTGACTTGCATCATCTCTGTTAGCCTGGTCTCCTGGTTTGCTCAGAGTAAATGTTACACACAGTTCAAGGAGCATGAACCTGCTGTTCAGAGGGTATTCGGGGACTGGTTTCTGCTGTGCGGTTCCCAGCCTATGCAAACTGGAATCAGTTTCACAAACTCCGTGTGATTGTTTCACACAGAGCTTTTGGAGTAAAAACAAAGCACAAAACATTAAATATTACTAATATTAACAGCAGTAATAATCAACAGCCACAGTGATGGCACCCTGGCCCTTTCAGATCCATGTGCAAAGTGGATCTCAGCAAATAGAATACATTTCTCTAGCATTGCTTCTTTTGATTGCTGTTAATTTAGTTGTAAATTTTTCTGTTTGCAAGTGGGATCTTCCAGCCTGGAATCCATAAGATGGGTAGGGAGAGGATGCATTTAGGAGCAATGGGAAAAAAGCAACTCCTCTCCTAAAATTGTTAACCCAACAGAGACCTGTCTCAACACCTACCTACGTTTCTTAGGGATTAATAGCTCTGAAATGAAGTTGGCTGTTCCATGCGTCAACTCATTTATAAATTTAATCATGTAAAAAGGAAAAGTGCCTTGAGCACAGAGGGTGGGCAATTCTAGCAGGCAAGATTTCATCAGAAATATGGTGCAGTAGGATTCTGTACATCTGGGTACCCAGCTGGTCAGGAGATGAGCGGCAGTACCCATCTTCTCTCCTCCCAGCAAAGACTGCTGTGTCTCTCAGGCTGTGGCTTCCAAGCCAACATGAGCCCAAGGGTTCTTTGTAGTTGAGATTTTCTCTGGGTAGGCTGAGAGATACATCTTTGCTGAGTCTTTCTCCTCTGGTTACAACCAAATAGCACTTATAGGAATCCCCAGGTACCTATTTTTAGCAATATAGCATTAGGTGCTCCTCTCAAACAAACTAGTTTTCATTCCTTTGTTCCTGGCCTTTCTGTGTGGAGAAGTAGATTTTTACCCAGAATTCTAAATAGATGCCCTAATCATGGCCCAAAGCTGAACCATGTTGCTCTAGGGCCACAACTAAGCCCACTGGACTCTTTAAGGCATCGCAGGGAATGCTCACATTGGAAAATGATCATCATCCATGGAGTCCAATAGAATCCTTTTAAACCTTGCTGTAATATCTGGATGGAATCAGTTCCCTATATGGAAAAAGCTCTCCCTGGAATTGTAAGCAGACACCATTCCCAGATGGAGCTCTCCGGACCGCTGTTAATGGTTTCCCTTCACATCATTCCCTTCAACACATGTCTTGAAGCTGGATGGCTGATCGATCTGTAATTGGCATCCTATCCAAAGAGAAGAAAAGTACTTACCTTCACCATTAAACCAGTCTTTTGATCCCTAGATGATAACACTGACTTGAAGGATAAGACAGCTTCTATTGCCTCTTCCCTTTCAAATCATTCCGCAGTGCTTCCCAGGGATAAATACCAAGCCACGTGGCAGGCAGACAGCAACAGGTTTGGCCCAACGTTCTCAGAGCCAAAAGCCTGCCTTTGGCTTTGCTGTTTAATTTTTAACTTCATTTTCAAGTTCTCACTGACAGAGTGGGTGCCTCTGAAGATATCACTGTGCTTTCCTGCTTTCAACTGTGTGTCAACTGCTCAGTCAGCAAATCCTTTTCCTGAAAGCAAGGTGCTGTTGCGGCAGAAAGAGGAGGGGTCTGGAGATGAGAGGGACAGGACCGAGCCCACCTCCAAATTCAAACATTGCTGTGACCTGAGGCAAGTCACATTACCTCATTTAATTGGTTTCTGCATTAGAAAAAAAAAAACTGTTGCTAATAATCAACCCTGGGGATTATTGAACCAATGAAATAAATATGTATGCTCACTGATGGAAGGGCCTCAACCTGAGATTGACCCATTGAGAGTTGGTGAAGCCAGCTGGACCTACCTGAAGTGTTTGATGCCCACAGCCAATTTGATGACCTTAACCACTTTGCTAACTTCCCAGGAAGTCATGCTCTATATTTTCTTCCTGTTCTTTAACTGTGTTCTTTCACAACTAATGTCTGATTCCTGACCTTGGATTTGTGCCCTATTTGTGATTCTCAGTTGTTGGACTGTAGTTGCTACTAGATCTTCAGTCTTTGCAAAATGAGGTGGGGACATGCCCTTTCTGGTTCTGTTATCTTCACACTTCCCACTCTCATGAGTCTCACTGCATTCCTACAACGCCCCCCTACTGCCAAGCCCCATCAGTCCTCTGTGATTGATATAATAAATTATCACAAGCTTGGCCGCTTAAAACAGCATGTTCCCATTTACTATTCTGCAGATCAAAAATCAAAAAAATAACTGTCACAGAGCCAAAATCAAGGTGTTAGCAGAATTCTGCTCCCCCTTAATGCACTAAGGGAAAATTTATATTTTTATCTTTTCCAGCTTTCCTATCTTCTTCACCATCTCTGAAACCAGCAGCAGCCAATCTTCCATTCTTTCTCTTGCACTTTGATTCTTCTGTCTTCCATCTGTGAACCAGGAACTCTCACCAGACCCTGCACTGGACAGTGCCTTCATCTAACATTCCAGCTTCAAGAAAATAAGGAATAAATTCTAGTTATTAATAAACCAGCAAGTTTGTGATATTTTGTCATAGCAGCTCAAATTATCACAATTTATGTTTAATAAATATTAGCTTACTGGATGAGTGAATTTTTGAGTTGTACTCACAAGTAAGAATTAAAATTTCTTACCCTCTTCTTACCTTTCTTACCCTCACAGCAGTGTTGTTGAATCAACTTGGTAAGTTATACATTTTGTTTTGTCTATAACATTCATAAAATTTGGGTCCAGTGCGAGGGCTCAGTAGCTAAATTTTTACCTTGCACATACCAGGAACCCATATGGGCACCAGTTTGTGTCTCGACTTCTCCACTTCCCTGGCAAAGCAGTCGAGGATGATTCAAAGCATTGGGACCCACTGTGTTTGTGGGAGACCCTGAAGGGGCTTCTGGGTTCTGGCTTCAGATTGGCTCAGCTCTAGCTGTTGCAACCACTTGGTGAGTGAACCAGTGAGTGGAAGATCCTTCTCTCTGTCTCCCCTCCTCTCTGAAAATCTGCCTTTCCAATAAAAATAAATGAAATTTTTTAAAAAATTGTATAATTCAAAAGTAATATAACAAGGCTAGATGTGATGGCTCAATTGGCTAGTTCTCTATCTGTAATTGCTAGCATCCAATATGGGAACCAGTTCATGTCCCATGCTTCATTTCCCAACCAGCTCCCTGCTTGCAGCCCAAGAAAGCAGTGGAGAATGGCCCAAAGCCTTGGAACCCTGCACCTGAATGGGAAACCCAGAAGAATTTTCTGGCTCTTGTTTTCAGCTCAGTTCTGGCCTCTGTTGCCATATGGGGAGTAAAATAGCAAATAGAAGATCTTTCCCTCTGCCTCTCCTTCTCTCTGTAAGTCTTCCTTTTCAATAAAAATAAATAATTAAAAAAAAAAAGGTGGTCCTTAGAAATTTAGTACTTTCTGACTGGATATTAATAACTATTTCCAATCACAGAAGTTCAGTTCTGCATTTTATTTCTTGTAAGTTTTTTATGTTCCAGGCCAAAAATAGCATAGGCTTCTGAAAATAATATGTTTAATATTTGGCACATGACTCAGGAGTACAAAGTCCATTGAGGGAGACTATACAGAGGGCAAAACACTGAGATGTAGGCACAAAAACACAAGCCTGGGCAGGTGATCTGGAAAAAACAAAGAAGAACCCCAACTAACCCAGGGAGGTCAAGAACCAGCTGCCCAGCTGCCCATGAAGACTGTGGTCAGTCTTCATGGATGGGATGAATGGGTCAGGAAGGTAGGAGAAGGACTTTTCAGAATGCATAAACCGATAAAGTTTGAGTTAATGTGAGAAATTAGAAATCCCCAACATGATGGGAAACTAAATAAAAAAACCTGGATTTGGTATACTTACAATAAATATGATAAAATTTTAAAAATCAATTGTTTTGCCAACTAGTAGAAGTAATGATCAATAAATAGAAATGCAAACAAGTTTTTAGTGTTCCCAAGCAATTTTTTTTTAACTTGTGGGATTATTTGAATAAGAAAACAATGGTTCAAAGAGAAAATAATAGAATATTATTAAAGGACATAAAACAAGATCTGGTTAACTGGAATTCCATACTATATTTTCCACTGGGAGAACTTTTTATAAAAATATTGATCCTCCCTAAATTCAGTACTGTATTCAGTGAAAATCCGATTGGAAAAAGAAGAAACCCAAATTTAAATTGGGAGCTACCCATGTGTCTGCCAAGACTGAATGCTTCATGATGCATCCAGAAAAGGAATGAGGGACACCTGTGCCTGTGGGGCATTTGGCCTGGATGCTTTTGTATAATGTAGTACAATTTGGAATGAGTAAAGCAGATACAAAGTACATATAAAGCGGCCCCATTTATTTTCTAAATAGTTACCCAAGAAAAGTCAATACATGTCTCTGTTTATATTGTATGAGCCAGACAAGCAGCTAACTTGGGTTATCAGGTCTAGGTAACTAGGCAGATGGTTAAAAAAAAGTGTAAAACTAAACAAAAAGGTGATCACAGAAAACAGCACCTATGGTGTGATTATAAAATTAAGTGCACCTAAAACATACTTGTGTGTACATGTGTGTATGTACCTTTGTTTGTACATATATATTTTATGCATGTATTTGTACATATGTGTGTTTACGTATATGGAAAGAATAAACGCAAGATATTTCCCTCTGATCACAGGTACTGGGCTTTTTAGGTGAATCTTTCATTCTTTGTTTTTTTCTGCGTTATTTAAATTTCATATAAAGGGAATTTATTACATAATCAGAAAAAGCAAAAACCTATTTTGTTTTTAGTAAAACCAAACATCCAGACCAAAACATGAGAAAAAATCCAATTTAAGTAAGAGTGGGAAATCTGGGGAAGGTGTCACCAAGACCAGGGCACGGGGTATTTTATGTAACAGCCAAAAGCATGAACTTTACCTTGTGACGCCTGCGCCTCTGTGGCATGAATGTGCATGCACCCATACACAGAAATGGCCAGCAGTGTGCAGAAGTCACAGACAGAAAGCAAAACCTTTTCCTGTGTATTTTTTCTTTGCATAGGATTTCCCTATATAGGAAACTTTCCATGTGTAAAATTTTCACTCAACAACTTGGCAAACATCTTAAACTTGCTTTTCAGACAAATTCAGTCAACTGCAAAAATCATGCTGTTAAAAGGAAATGGAGGGACCAGCGCGGTAGCCTAGTGGCTAAAGTTCTCGATTTGCACACACTGGGATCCCATGTGAGCGCCGGCTCTAATCCTGGTAGCCCTGTTTCTCATCTAGCTCCCTGCTTGTGGCCTGGGAAAGCAGTTGAGGACAGCCCAAAACCTTGAGACGCTGCACCCACGTGGGCGACCCGCAAGAGGCTCCTGGCTTTGGATCGATGCAGCTATGGCAGTTGCATCTGCAACAGGCTGTAGCACCCAGATCTGTGGCAAGCTTAAGCCCAGAGCCAGGAACCCCATCTGGATCTCACACAAAGGGGGCAGGGATCCAGACATTTGAGGCCATCCTACACCGCCTTCCCAGGCACTTAGCAGGAAGCGGCATCAGAAACAGTAGACAGAATTCAGACCAGTACTCCGAATGTGGTGCTGCCATCCTCAATGGCAACTTAACCAGCCACACCATTCGTCTAGTTCCTCCATCTTTTTGTTCGTCTATGAAAAGTTCACTGTTATCTCTCCATGCTAGAAGTACCTATCTTCAAATGTAAGTCATAATGCTGTTCTTTGCTTTGCAAACATCAGTTTGGATTGGGCTTCCTGCTCGTCTTCTTGCACCTAGGACCTAAGCATTTGAGGTCTGTGGTCAGAATGGGAGATCAGGAAAGTAAAGCAAGAGGCTGAGGGGCAGGCGCTGTGGCACAGCGTGTTCAAGCACAGCCTTCAGGCCAGTGTCCAACAGGAGTGCCCCCTTGGATCCATACCTGGAGTCTCCCAGAACCACTCTGGTACACAGGGCACCTCTGCTTGGAGTTTGGAGAGGGCGATCACACTGAGCCAGAGGGTGGAGCATTTGCAAGCAGTGGCTAGCACCTCACCCACCGTTGTTGGTTGGTTCCTGCTTTTTGCCAGGGCCAGCACATCACGGACCTGTTTAACCACACTGCAACTTCCTTATGTAATATGAGCTCTATCTTGGAACACTTCTGATTGGTTCCTGGCCAAACCAATCGATTCAGGCCCTGCTGACTTCCTAATTGTGTCACGTGGAGTGCTTCCTTTAGTATGTGCGCTGACCAATCAAATGAACTTGGTCCTTAGAAACGCCAAGTCTAGAACCAGTCAACGGGCTAGGATGGTGAAGAAATACGCGTTTGCAGTGACTGCCCAGGTATTTTCTTTCTTTCTTTTTTCTTT